CCGCACTCGTTCACGGTGCTGGACGTCAACGGCACGAAATACACGCTGGGTGCAGCAGCACCAACATGATGAGCCGGCCGGCTGGAAATTGAAACACGGTCAAGGCCGGCGACAGGTCAGCATCACCTATTACCCGCTGCGCACCGGCCAGCCAGGCGGCATGCTGAAGACGGTGACGCTGCCCGGCGGCCAGACCTTGAGCGCACACCGGTAAAGCAACGATACCATATTTCAGGGAGGATCGCGACGTCGGCACCGACCGCGCTGCTGGCGCTTACCCTGATTGCGGCGCCGATCGCGCCCGCGATGACGCAGACGACCATGAAGGTCGAAGGCCCAACATCACCGGCGTGTGGGGAAATCTATCCCGGCCCGTTCGCCGGCGACCAGATTTACCTTTATCGAGCTGCCGGTGCCCAATGGCGGCGAAGCTGCGCGAGCCTATGCCTCGCAGTGGAAAGCCACGCGCGCCAAGCGCGACGCCAATCTGAAGGCGGGCACCCGCCGCCGATCCACACTTTATTGCCTGCCAGAGGGTATGCCGCCCGGTGATGGGCGCGATCTTCCCGCTGCAATTCTCCAGACGCCCGGCGGGTGACGATATTGGCGGAGTTCCTGACCCAGACGCGCCGCATCCTCCTCAACAAAGACGATGCCGGGGCGGATGACCTGACGCCGTCCTATTGCGGCTATTCGGTCGGCCATTGGGAAGGAAAACGCTGGTCATCGTCGACCAAGGGCGTGAAAGGAAGAGGTGCAGTTCTTCGGGATTCCACACAGCGCCGACACTGACCATCACCGGCGGATGACGCTGACCGCACCGGACGCGATCGAGAACAACATCGCGATCGACGTCCCAAGATGCTCATCGGGCCGGTACAAGCTGACCTACGGCTACAAGCGCAACGACGGCACGAATCAAAGGGTATCTCTGCGACAAGGATCCGCTGTTCAAAGGTGGGCGCCGATGGCAGGTGTCGATGAAGGTCGACGAACAGCCCGCCGCCAAGACCGATGACCCGCCCCCTCATCCTCGCCCTCGTCGAACAAGCCTCAGGGCGGGAAGAAGAAGTGATCGGCTGAAACAGGGCGGCAGCATGTTCAGTCGGCAGGATCTGCTGTCGCACGGCCTACTTGCGACCGGCGGACTGCTGGCCGCGCCGGCCTCGGCGCGGGGGGGCAGACTGGTCGGCATCCTGCGTCGCGACGCGACGATCCGCCAGCACAGGTGGGATCGGCGACGGGTACAAAGATGACGCTGGCGGCGGACGGGCGGCAGTTCGTGGTCGTCAACGACGGCCCCGGCTGAACCCGGCCGCCGACCGCCTTCGACGACAGCGCTGTGGACGATCACGGGGCCGCCGACCGCCCGCCTTTCGCCCGGTGCCAGGCTACCCCACCTCGACAAGGCGCATCGCCCAGACGGCGCGCCGACCTATCACAGGCACGGCATTTCTGGCCGTGCGCGGCAACGATCCAGTTCCTCGCGACGCTCGACCGGGCGGAGGATCGCCCGCGCCACTGGACCGGCGCCAAGCTGATCTATTCCGGACGATGGCGGGCGGCACTGGCGCAATGGCGATGGCAGCACCCCCCGTGATATGGGAGGATTGGAGCGAACAGTCCGGCGACCGCTTCGCCTTTTCGGTGAGCCGGACGGCTGTTTCTCGTTATTATCGATCCTGCAGATGGGGGCCGATTACCGCGCCAACCGCGACGGCTACATCTACATCTACGGTCTCAACGGCAACGTCGACGGGCGAATGAACGAACTGGTGATGTTCGCGTCGCGATCGACCGGGTCACGGACCGTTCCGCCTATACCTTCTTCGCCGGTCGGACCGCCATTGGCGGCGCGCTGGACACCGGACATCGCCGAACGGGCGGTGGTTCAACGGTTTCCGGCGGGCTGGGTCAACCACAACCTCTTTCCCGGCGACACGGTGAATCCAGATCCACGGCTGCCGAGCGTCGTCTACAATGCGTCGCTCGGCTGCTACATCATGGCGAGCGCCGGTATCGGTGCCGCCCCCGATGGCACCGAATTCGATAAACCGAGCTATCTCGGCATCTGGATTGCGCAGGCGCCACAGGGCCCGTGGCGGCAGATCCACGAGGATTCGGCGCACGGACACCGGGCGGCAATCCGGCGCGGGCCCTGCCCCACAGATCGCACCCGGCTGGATCGCAGCGGACGGCCGTTCCTTCTGGCTGAGCTGGGCCGATCTGGACGGTATTCGCGCCTTCCGGTCGCGACGAGCGCTGATGGCCGCCGCCGTCGCCAAAACCACCCGGCCGCGCGAACCGCCGTCGAGGTGGACTTCATCCGGCGCTATATGCGGTTTCTCCCTCAATACGCAGCGCATCGACCTGATCCTCCGTTGACCAGCCGGTCGAGGATACGGGCCAGCGCCCGCATCCTCGACCGTGAATCATTTTCCCTATCGCCGCAGCGTCGCAGTCAGACCGATCGTGCGCGGGCGGAAGGTTATAACGAAACCGCGTCAGATCAGGCGTGTCATGGTACAATGCCAGCGCCGGATGGCTGTTCGTCGTTGTTGACGAACAGGCTGAGATCGATCACGCATCGGTCGGCGGTCTTCAGCCAGGTGCCGATACGGATGTTGAGCAGCGAGGTGGACGGCAACCGAGCAGCGCCGGATCGACCAGCAGCGATTCCGGGTTCAGCGGCTTCGTTGTGGCTGCTATAGGCATAGTCGACGCGCATAGATCTCGTCCAGCCCGATCGGATGGGCGTATTCGCCGTTGAGCTGCACCGACCAGGCGCAATGGCGAAGGTTCGCCGCCCGCCGGATGATCGTGCCACCCGCGCCCGGAATGTCGGTGGTGTAGCGCGCATTGGCGTAGGACACCCGCCCGCCGGGGTCAGCCCTTCGACGGGCCGCAGGGTCAGCGCCGGGTCAGATCCGTCGATCTGCGCATTGCCGGGATGAGCATCACCTGCTGCTGGCAGATCGGCAGTACCGGGAGCGTCTGCACGTTCTTCCATTTGACGATAGACCGATCATCGACCAGCAACTTGCCACCCGAACAGCCGGTTCTTGCTGCCCGCCTCGTAACTCCATACCAGATCCGGGTTGATCGTGTTCGACTTCGTCGGATCGAAACCGATCGCCGCCGCGTCGGTCGCGCAGCTGACGCCGACGGCCGGCGACACGCCGGGGCCGCGAATGCCCTTGGCCGCGCTGATGTAGAACAGGTTATGCTTGTCCGCCTGATAGGCGACGCCCAGCAGGCGTCGCCGTCCCGCTGTCACCTTCAACTGATCGACCTGCCGGCGGTGCCGAACAGCGGGCCGGCGGTGAAGCCGTCATAGCGATAGTCCGCGATGGTATAGCGCGGCCGGCGGTCAGCTTCAGCCCCGACAGGATTTCGTATCGGCACGGGCATAGGCGGCCTTCTGGTCGTCGACATGGATGTTGCGCTGATAGGTCGGTAGAGCCCGCGTGCAGCTCCACCCCCGAACTGGGGATTGTCCGACAGCGAAGCGAAGGGGTGGCAGGCCGTTCTGCTGCTGGCCGACATTGGCGACGTCGAGCAGCCAGGGGATCGCTGCCGGCATATTGGTCGTGAACGCGTTGGAATGCTGGTAGAACAATGACGATCCAGTTGAAGCGCGCATTCGGCACCGCGTTCTGCAAGCGCAGTTCCTGTGAATGCCTTTTGCCGGGTGTGGCTGGTGGTGCTGGGCGTATAGTTCGCGAAGCCCGGCAGGAAAGGCATTGGAACGCGCGCGTAGATCGCGAGCTGAGCGTCGTGTCGTCGCTCGTCGATGTGGTGTGCCGGTCAAAATAGGACGTGTCGGACACCAGCGTCATGCTGCCGAGATCAAGCGACGCCTTCAGCGCGGGCAGATAGAAACGGTCCTTGCGATATTCAGGGCAGGACGTTGAGGCTGAGGTTATACCGCGCCTTGGACGGGTCCGACGTCGCCAGCTCGTAGCGCGAGCCGTCGTCGTAATTGAGTTCTGCACGAACAGCGACGGGGTGATCGTCAGCGTGTCAGTCGCCTTCAGCCAATGCGATGCGGGCGGAGAAGCTTTCTGGCTGTTGATGTCGCGCTGCGTCACCTGCTGCGTGAACCGGTCCCGCCGGTCGATATAGCCGCCGTCGCGGCGATACCGAACACTGGCGCGCAACCCGATCTCGTCCTCCTTGATCGGCGCGCCGCCGGCAAGCCCGTCTCGTAGCTGGGTGCGCCGTTCTGCGTTATCGCCACCTCGCTCCGGCCGCAAGGCTGACCGTGTCGCCGTTTGGCGTCGGCGAGATGAAGCGCACTGCGCCACCGACCGAACCGCTGCCGAACAGCGTGCCCTGCGGCCCGCGCAGCACCTCGACCCGTCGAGGTCGAACACCTGCGGATAGGCGTTGCTGAGCGACAGGCTGACCCTATCCGCGTCTGGATCGGGGTGTCGTCGATATGGGCGCCGGTGGTCAGGATGCCCGAGCTGGGATCCACGCCGCGGATCGCGATCGTCGTCTGGCCGGTGCCGAAGGCGGTGGTGCCTGGCCGAAGGTGACGCCGGGCGTCAGCCGGGCGATGTCGCCGATTGACCGGATGCCCTGCTTGTCGAGTTCGACTTGGCTTTTCGCGACGATGCTGGCCGGTACGCGGCTGAGCGATTACGACTGGCGGGTGGCCGTGACGATGATGTCGCCGCTAATCCCTGACCCACCGCAGGGGTCGCCAGCGTTGCCGCAGGGGCGCGGTCGCGTTCGGCACTCCGGCATCCGGCGCGTTGGCGTGATCGGCGGCGGTTGCACCGGGGCCCCTGCGGTCGTCGTCGTCGTGGAAGCGTCGGGCGCGACCTGCGCGTGGGCGGGAACCGCCAACGCGACGCGATCGGCATCAGCACACCGGCCAGCAGGCCGTGCTTAGGGGATGGAGGCCACCATCCGCGCCGATGCTGCATCATCTTCTCTCCCTTTCCTGAAGGTGATGACGATGGCGGCCGGCGGCATTCACGATCCTGCGGGTGATGTCGCTCTGTGGTCCCGTCCAGTCATCATTCGGTGCGGAGGCAGCAGCAAAGCCCGCCGCCGGTGACGTTTGTAACACAGACGGGCCATGAAAACCTTTATTTACATAAAATAAACAGTTCACAACGTTACATTCCGTGCTGTTACGACGTTCTGACCGGTTTTCGACCTTGTCGCGGAGGATGGAAGGCTATCATCGATCATCGATCCGCCATGAAAGGCTTCGCGAGACATTTGGCAGACCGGCACTCCCCCATTCCCCAACGCCGGGACGACCGACCGGATGAGCGACTCCCTTTTCGACCGGGAGGTCGCGAAATTCCGACAATTGCTGACGACCGGCCGCTCGTCGATCTTCCTCCAGCTGTTCGACTCTCGTCGCGCTCGGTGACGACCGCGCGCCAAGGAGGTCGAGATCGCGCTGGCGGTGTTCGGCCGCAATAGACCGGGCGACCTCCCCAATTCGGTGGTACGCGTGTCGATATCGCCTGCGCAAGCGCACGGATGCCTTCTATGCCGGCCAACCAGGCGCCCGACTACCAAATCCCCAAGGCGAATATCGCCTCGTCCTCTCCGATCATCGGTACCGTGCGCCAGCCTTCTGCCTCCATGTCGCGCGCTTCTGGCTGGGTGTGCTGGTGGCGGTCGTCCTGCTGAACGCCGCCTGGTGGTGATCGCGCCGGGCCTGTCGCCGAACGGATCGACGGAGCATGCGCAACTGACCCCAGTGCGCCCGCGTGATCGCCATCGGCGACAGCTATCGGGCCGATACGCTCGCGTCGGAGCCGGCAATCCGCAGCCGCGACGTTTCGGTCCGCCCCCACCCCCCTCCTCGACGTTCGCTCTACGTTCGACATCTATTATACGCGGCACGGCGTCCGCACAGAACATCCTGCCGCCGCTATCGGCGCTCCGCGACAGGCGTGCCCGCAAATGTCGCGTCGCAGCTCAAGCCACCACGTTGGTGACGTCATCTATATCGGGCCGCTCGTCTGGGCATTCTACTACCGGTTTTCGCAGGCGTCGGGATCACCACTCATGGCAAATGAGCTGGTCGATCGGACCACGGGCAGCGTGCGATGAAACCGGCGGCTCGGGCAACAAGCGGCCGGCATCATTGGCTACATCGCCGCCATGCCGGGGCCTGCGGGCAAGCGTATCTTCGTGATTGCCGGGCTCGGCACCGCCGTCCAGAGCATGGCCGATCTGGTCGCCGATCCACGGTGCAACTGGCGCAACTCAGCAGCCGTGCCGGATTGCCGACATCGTTCGAGGCGCTGTACGAGGTGCGCACCCCGCAGCTGTCGTGTTCAGGCGCACTCGTCGTCGCCCGCCCCCCAACACCATCGCCGCTGACGGCGATCAGGGCCTCAACGGCGCGTCCCATGCGGTGACGGGCGCGGTCAAACTGCCGATCCGGCCGTTCGGCGCATAGCCCAACCGCACCTCGATACCCCCTTGATCGTAGCGCGCGATAGCGATGGAGGTGGTCGTCGCCCGCCCTCGCCCGACCGAACGGCGCCACTTCCCGCAACGCCCCCAGCGGCTGGAGCGTCGCGCGATATTCCGCCATCATCTCGGTGAAATCAGGCTTCCGACGCTGCGTGTGAATGCGCGGGGATCGGCGGTGCCGGCCGCGATGGCGCGCAGCAACTGTGTCACGAAGGCGCCGACCTGCGGCGTGTCCTCGAGGATCGGTGCCGCGGGTGGACGGGCGAGACCGGGATCGATCATCCCGGCAACATGCCCGCGCGATCTCTCCGCATCGCCGCTGTCGGCGTTGAGCAGGGCGACGACGGTCAGTTCCTTGCCCGGATAGCGGATGATCGCCGAGCGGAAGCCCTGCCACGACCCAGCGTGCCGCCATGCCACATGCCCGCCTTCCTTTTCCGGGAACCAGCCGAAACCATAGGGATAGGTCCGGCCCGCTGCGCAGGTCACGGCGTGCCGACCAAAGGCCCGGACGTGGGACTCAGGACCGCGCCGCGCGACAGGCCCCCTGCCCGGGCGGCATAGTCCAGCGCCGACGGTGGAAGCGTGCCGTCCGCCGTCGAATTGGCGGTCAGGGGAAACCCAATCGGGATGGCGCCACCGCCCCCCGCGCCATTCATAGCCCGATGCGCGATTGGGGATCACCGCCTGCTCGTCGATCGGCTGCGCGGTCCGCATACCTAGCTGCTCCGAACACCCGCGTCCGAAGCAGCTCGGCGTAAGACATGCCCGTGACCCTGCGCACGATGAAGCCCAGCACAATATAATCGGTATAGCTGAACCGCCACCGCGTGCCGGCAGGGGAAGTTCAGATCTGGCGGTAGATGATCCCCAGCAACTGGTCGTCGGTATAGTCGGTGCCGGAACTCGCCATTGGGTGTCGCGGGCAGGCCGGACACATGGTTCAGCAGTTGCCGGATCGTGATCGGCTGCCAGCTACGCGGCGCATCGGGCGCGAAGCGGCGCACCAGATCGTCGAGCCCGATCCGCCCGTCCTCGACAACAGCATCACCGCCGCCGCGGTGAACTGCATCCCACCGCACCGCTCTTGAACAGCGTATCGGGATGGACCGGCACGGAATGTTCCGGGTTGGCGATGCCGCCAGCCTTGCGCGCAGGATCACGCCCGGCGGATCACCGCCAGCGCCGCGCCGAGGACATGCTGGCGCGCCATCGCACTAGTCACATAATCGTCGACCGGATCCGCCGTCGCCGATGCGCCAGCAGTAGGGCGCGATGGCGGGGCCGACGATCCGGCCGGGTTGGGTCAGCAGGTCGGTCATCGCGGATCAGGTCATCATCGGCTCGGCATCAAGGGTAGCGGACGGCCATCCTGCCGTCAGGCCCGCCGCCGCGTGATTGCAGAAACAGCCAGCGGACGTAGCCCGGCCAGCGGATCACGGCCGGGCGTGACCGGCCCCCCGCCGGTGTCGTCCGGGAAGCGCTGGCTGGCGTCCCGGCTTGTCCCAGATGCCGCCAAAGCGGAGCGGGCGTTGCAGCAACAACGTGCCGCTAAGGTTCAGATTGCCCATCGTGCGCACCTGATACAGCGCTCGAACCCGCCCGAATTGATCGCGGCTCGGTGGTTCAGCGCTTTCCAGCCGCCCGGCATCGACGGCCAACTCGGCCATCTGCAACAGCGCCGGATCGCGCGTGCCGGCGATCACGACGATATGGTTGCCGACGGACCCGGCAGGCTGGCGATATAGCCATAGTCGCGCCGCGCCGATCTGCTCGTCGGCGGCACGGACGATCCCGCCGTCCGAGCGGAAGCGGCGGCCCGATGCGGTGTCGATCAGTTCATCCCACGACTGGCCAATGCGAAAGCCGGATGCGGAACAAGGGATTGCGCAGCAACGTACCGAACCCGCTTAGCTGGCCGACGCAGACCACGTCGGACGTCTTCAGGATGTCGGGCGTCAGCTGCGACGCCGCGATCAGCGTGACGCGCGTGGCCAGATCGCCGCGCAACTGGCGCAGGGCCGCGTACAGGTCGCCCAGCGCCAGCACCGCTCCCGACGGAACGTAGCGCAGGTCCATGTCGATCGCGCAGCCGATCTGGTCGGGATGCGCCATCAGATAGATGTCCAGATCCTCGCGCGCATTGATCGACGGATTGCGCACCAGCCGCGGCGACGGCACCGGGGCGCCAGGTGGGACCGCGCACGCCTCAGCGAACAGGTAATAGTCGCCCAGCACCAGCGTGATCGGACGGTGGCTGAACGCGATCAGCCGCCACAGATATGTGCGCGCCAGCGACGACGTGAACGCGGGCGCGCGATGAGCGCACGCTCCACCGTCCCCAGATTGACGGGGCCAGCGACCAGCACCGCCGCCACCAGCCACCAGCGTCGCTGCGGTAGGGCGGCATCGGCCGTCACGGCCGCGGGCAGGGCGATCAGGTCAGGACGCTCTTCGACGAGGACGACGCGGTACTCGCCCGCCAGGGATCGACAATCGGGGACCGGGCCGGTCGGCATAGATCTGGTCCAGCGCCTTGCGCAGCCGATGCACATAGACGCGCACCGTGGCATCCTGCACATCGACATCACGCCCGATCGAGAACACCTCGTTGGCGATCTCGATCTCCGCCGGCAGGCGGTCCGCCAACGTCCGGTCGATCAGGGAAATCGAACAGGCGCAGCAGCATCCCGGATCTCTTGAAGCCGATCGACTCACGCACGACCTTCGCTTCGGCAAGCAGCGCCGACGATCGCACCGCACCGGCAAGTTCCCCCCGTGCCCATATTGGCGTTCAGGCTGTCGCCCTGTCTCATATTGTTGTTCAGCATAGACAAAGCGGCATTCCTCGCAAGATTTTGCGGAAATCATACGGACGTGCAATTGCACAACCGTTTCCATCCGCTCGGTTGCCGTAAGTAACCGTTTCAAGATACGTCGACCGCCGGGCATGTGCTTCGTTATTCGCGCCAGTAGGTGGGACGAGCGCGCGGGAACGAACGTCGCCGGATTCTACCCTTCACTCATGGGAGAGACCGCGCGATGTCCATCGAGACCTTCAGCAACTGGCTCTATGAAACGCCGATCAGCACATCGATCCGCGACATCACGGATTATCCCCACGGCAGAGCATCCACATCTGGCGTCCGCGATCGTCGTCGGATCGGCACTCGTGTCCGACCTGCGACTGGCGGGGGTGCTGGCGACGGACGAGACACCAGCCACCGTGGTGCGCCGCTACCTGCCACCGGATGTGGGGGCGCTGGTCGTGCTGCTGCTGACCGGCATCGTCATGCTGGTCGCGGAGCCGGGACGAACGCTGACCAACACCGTGTTCTGGATCAGATGGCACTGGTGCTGTCCGCCTTCGCCCTGACCTGGCGTTCCGCAAGCCGCTGCTCTCGATCCGCAGTTCCGCATCGATCACGCGCACTGGCGCGCGGCAGTGAAACCCCGCGGCACAGGCGTCGCTGGCGATCTGGATCGCAGTGGTCTTCTGCGGCCGCTGGATCGCCTATACCTGATCTCCGCCCGCCGCATCGATCCGATTTCACCATTTCCTGAAAAGGGGCTCGCCATGTCCTTGGACACGCTGTTCCAGTCGCTCTACGATTCGTCCCTACCTCCGCGATCCGCGAGAACACCAGCTATTTCCGTGGCTGGAATCCTTTCACGTGCTGGCGATCACACTGGTATTCGGGACGATCTGCATCGTCGACCTGCGTCTGCTGGGCTATCGATCGCACCGGCAGGGCGCGCGACAACTGATCGTCGACCTCTTGCCGTTCACCGGGTCGCATTCGCGGTGGCGGTGGTGACCGGCAGCCTGCTGTTCGCGTCGAACGCGGTCGCCTATTCGCACAATGCGCAGTTCCAGTGGAAGATGATCGCGATCCTCGCGGCCGGGCTGAATATGGCCGTGTTCCCACATGACCGCCTATCGCCAGATCGTGGACTGGGACGACGATGCATCGCCGCCCACCGCGGCGCGGATCGCCGGTGCCGGCTCGCTGATCCTGTGGATGCTGGTGATCGTGTTCGGGCGCTGGATCGGCTTCACCTGTCGGTCTTCTGAAAATCTATCTGAAAACTCGCGAAAGAACGAATTTTCAAGGCCGCACCGGCCGCTCCCCTACCGAACGCCCACAGAATATCCTGATGGGCGGTCGCGCGGGGAGCGCCCGTCACAACCAGGTTTCCCGCGATGTGAAGCATCGTGGGAAGGCTGCTGGGGGGCACCGCAGGGAATATTAAGGCACGTTTTCGAACGGCCCCTGAGGCCCATATGGCTTCTTCGCGTAACGCCCCGGCGACACCCCGGTCCAGTCCTTGAATGCGCGCGAGAAGGTGGCAGTGTCAGAATAGCCAAGCTTGTCCCGCCGCCACCGCCAGCGGCAGGTCCGGCGCCTGCAATATTGCCGTGCCCGATCCTGCCGCGCCTGCTGCAACAGCGCGCGGAACGACGTGCCCCTCCTCCATCAGCCGCCGCCGGAACGAGTGTTCGGACAGGTTGAACTCGGCCGCCATCGACGTGCAGTCGACATGCGTGCAGCCCGCAGCGACTGGCGATCCGTTCCCGCGCCCGCGCGACCCGGGCTGCGATGCGACGGCGCCCGGCCCCATCAGGTCGAGGAGATGCGTCTCCGGATCGTGCGCAACCGGTCGTCCTCCGCCCGTGCCGCACTGGAGAAGGGCCTGGTCGAGATCCTCGTTGCGGATCACCAACTGGTTGGCGACCTGATTGCCAGCACGGGCGCGCGGAAAAACTGCGCCAGCCGGTCTTCCCGCCCGACGATCGAATGTTCGGAAATGGACGCGCTGCGGGCTCCACTTGCTGGTCGCCAGTTGGCGCACCACGGTGACGATGCGGCGACGTGAATTCACATCCTGCCGCCGTGGCCAGATGCCCGGATCTTCGATGCGATAGCTGTAGGTCGTGACGTCGCTGTCGGTTTCATGTCCCGTGGAGCGTGCGGGTCTGCA